CGGAGTTGCCCGCGGTGATGTGGTGAGTACCAAACTGGCCGGGAACCAACAGTCTTCAGCAGATAGGAGCTGTAACTATTTCTAACACATCTACTAATACCCGTCTGATCAGACTTTGGGATTTGTGCAAGTGCATCTGAATGAAACGACCTTCATCTAACGTTTATCAACTGTTAACCCCAAAATTATGGGGTATTTCTAGGTCGACTGAGCCATAACCACTCACATGAGATTCATCAAAATCGTTAACCATACTATGCATGTGCAGGTTGCTGTTCTTAGCCCGAACGTGCCGGCGATGTACGAGCTACACTTTGCCGTGCCCATGGCAGGCGCGATCCTCTGCACCTTGAATACACGGCATGACGCGGCCATGGTGTCCGCGTTGCTGAAGCACTCTGCCGCCAAGGTGTTGTTTGTCGAGTCAGGCCTCCTTGAGGTTGGGAGAGCTGCTCTGAATAACCTCGCCGGCGACCAGACTAGCGCCACGGCCCTTCCAGTCCTCATAACCATCTCACACGATGGAGGCTGCATCAACTCCGCCTACAACGACTACGAGAGTCTCATCACAGAAGCACCATTAGGGTTCGACATCCGTTGGCCCCTGAATGAGTTGGACCCCATCGCGTTGAATTACACGTCTGGCACAACTGCGAGGCCCAAGGGCGTGATCTACAGCCACCGGGGCGCGTACCTCAACACTATTGCAACGGCTCTCACGTACAACATCACTGTTACGCCGACTTACCTGTGGACCGTGCCGATGTTTCACGCCAATGGGTGGAACCTATCATGGGGCATCGCCATGCAGGGCGGTACCAACGTTTGCTTGCGCCACTTCACGGCAAAGGTCGTCTTTGATAAGATCTCACAACACAAGGTGACGCACATGGGCGGGGCACCCACAGTTCTCAACATGATCGTCAACGCACCAAGTGGTGACCGAAAGCCACTGCCAGTGATAGTACATATCATGACCGGCGGCGCCGCACGGCCGCCTAACATCTTGTCCGGGATGGAGGAACTTGGATTCATAGTATACCAAATGTATGGTCTTACTGAGACTACCGGCCCGGCCACCATCAACACATGGATGCCGGAGTGGGACACGTTGCCGACCGAGGAGCGCTCATGGCTCACGTTGCCGACCGACTAGGGTGAGACACCTTGTGCGTTCGTCAAGTTAAAGACTAACGTCGATGCAACAGAAATAGAGATTATAAACTACTGTCGGGATAAGTTGCCACATTACATGGCACCAAAGGCGGTGGTCTTCGCTGACTTGCCCAAGACTTCGACAGGGAAGACTCAAAAGTTTATTCTCCGTCAGAAGGCTCGGGCTATGGGCAGCCTTGTGAAGACATAAAATAGCGCACGTGAGATCATTTGTCTTGGTCAAAATATGGTATTGTATCGTATGGGGTGACTATAGCTTAGAAACAGAAATATATGACAATGAGACAACTATTTGGTTGTTATATTTGTTTACCAATATTTAGTTGTTAACCTTCATTTTCACTGAATTTTGCAATGATGGTCGATTGTGTGCATCACGAGGCAGAGACCAGGTGCACGTTGTGTCATTATACAGAATTATATCCCAAATATTCATAATGACTGCCTATTTCTTAG